TTCTCTTGTTGGATGTATGTGTCTGAAGGGGCTAAAACACCAAAAACACAACTCACTACAATGATGTCCCACACGCTTGTGGGCAGAGCATCTTAACATCTCGAGACCCTAATCTGATCCTCCTCGATAACTGTCCTTTATATCAACGTGGCGTGTACCTGGTTGCAAACAATAGCTCATTAACCATAAGGGAATTTTCTGGTTCAACGCAGAAGCGGTTAGACTTAATTAAGCAAGCTTCCAGTATCCTACGCTTAAAGCAGACAGTGGTAGCCACCCTCATGATCAGTAGCATGGCGCATAGCATGGTGAGCTGGCAATTCCATGTACCATGGTGGCAGCGGTACGGGTTTGGAGTGTCTGCTCACTCAACATGTTGTCAGCAACGCTGTGAGATCTTCCATCTCAGCTTGGCTTCGCCTGCTTATTCAGCCCAAAGAGGCGCAGGGAAGAGTGGAAGATTCCAGAAACCCTCACTGCAATCGCCCCGAAGGAAGAATTATTCCTGCAAACGAAAGCGGGATTGCAGACCCGGTAAGAGAACCGGGGTGGCAGTGGAGTTGTCACATTCCTGGGGGAGGAGAGTGAGCAATTCTGAAGCTGATCCAGGTGGCATCGCGAAGTAGCGGTATGTGGGAGAGCTCCCGAGTTGGAGCGACAGCCAGTCGATGATGATGTGTGGGCACCAAATGCTTTAAGAGTAACGTTCAAAATTGTCGGTGACCCAGGGCAGGCCTTGAAATGGCACGGATATCCAGGCTGCAAAAGCGAGGAGTTCAAAACTTCTTGCCTCGTTCAAGTGTGACTGTCGTAGTGAGCAGAAAGTGAACATGGGTGGCAGAAAAGGTAGAAAAAAAAATCAACCTGAGGTCACGCACTGGGGACAGTGCGATCCCAGTAACTGAAACAATAACCTTGGACAGATTAAATACCAAAGTGAGCCAGGACTAATTGGGGAAAAATGTTGAGGAGACTTTATCCATGCCACAGGGAAATACAGGAGGCTCAGGAAAAGTCCTGACAAAGACAGGGATCGTTTATATAAGATAACAAGGTATAGAGCTAGATGAACATAGCAGGTCAAGCAGCATCAGAGGAGCAGAAAGGCTGACGTTTTGGGCCTAGACCCTTCATCAGAAAATGTTCTGAAAAACTCGTTTATATAATCTGTGTAAGTAGGAATTTTTCGGTAAAATGGTGATTGATGCAGGAATCATTTGTTAAAGCTCGTAAAAGGGAGATTCCTATTATCAAACAAACACAACCAGCAGGAATACTCCACTTTGGCTGCGAAACATGGGAATGCATTTCTAACACCGCAGTAAGGAGAAACAGGAATTCAATTTCTGGGAAATAAAATCCTTTTAAACAGAAAAATATATCAACAGATGAGGAAGACCAGGCATCACAAATAAAACTGTCAGGATTTCAAAGATTAATATAAGTCAGAATTAGACAACTTAGAGAAAATTGAAAAAGCTGAGATGCAGAGGATTTACTAAATCAGAAGCTGCACAAATAAATGTCATTAAACTGAAATGCTGGAAATATGAAATGAATACAGGTAGTGCTGGGAGCATCTGTGGAGAGAGAAACACAGTTAACTTTTTTTGCTTTATTCATTCACAGGATGAGGCATCGCTGGCTAGGCAGCATTCATTGCCCATCCCTAATTGCCCAGAGGGAAATTCAGAGTCAACCACATTGCTGTGAGTCTGGAGTCACATGTAGGCCAGACCAGGTAAAGGTGGCAGTTTCCTTCCCTAAAGGGCATTCGTGAACCAGATGGGTTTGTCTGACAATTGACAGTGGATTCACGGTCATCATTAGATTGTTCATTCCAGATATTTTATTGAATTCAAATTCTATCATTGGCTGTGGCGGGATTCAAACCTCAGGTCCCCAGAACATTATCTGGGTCTCTAGATTAACAGTCCAGCGATAATACCACTAGGACATCGCCTCCCCTTAAGTCCACTGATCCTTCCTCAGAATTTCTATAAGTAAACAGATCATTTGGTTGGTCAGTATTGAGGGAACGCCGCACTGTCAGAGGGTCAGTGCTGAGGGAACGCCGCACTGTCAGAGGATCAGTGTTGAGGGAGCGCCGCACTGTCAGAGGGTCAGTGCTGAGGGAACGCTGCACTGTCAGAGGGTCAGTGTTGAGGGAGCGCCGCACTGTCGGAGGGTCAGTACTGAGGGAGCACCGTACTGTCGGAGGGTTAGTACTGAGGGAGCGCCGCACTGTCGGAGGGTCAGTGCTGAGGGAGCGTGGCACTTATCTCGGGGGTACAAGGCTTTTAAAGAGGTCACCATGTAGTAACACAGGTCGAGTGTATTTTTGTTGCTCTCTAAGTTAGTCATACATGGTTACACTCTGCGTCTGCATGTTCCCATGAACTTCAATATGCTGAGTGAAAGCTGTTTAATATGAACTTAGAATCACACACACATGCACATTCCCACAAACTAACACACATACACACATGTAAACACACATACATTGATACACATTGACAAATGCACACATGCACATGGACACACACACACACACACACACACACACACACACACACACACACACACACACACACACACACACACACACACACAGACCCACACACACACACACACACACACACACACACACACACACACACACACACACACACACACACACACACACACACACACACACACACACACACACACACACACACACACACACACACACACACACACACACACACACACACACA